AGAAAATCCAAAGGGCTGTACCATGAAAGAAATACAGGAGTGGGAAAAGATTAATTACGTGCCAGTAGTGCTAGCCCAGACCCAAGCAAAAGTAAAGAAGAAGTAAAGAACATATATGAGTGCATGACATGTAACGGTGTGACAACATAACTGCAATGTTGTAACGGGACAGCAGTCAGTGAGAGAGATTGATGTGAATGAAAGTGGATGTATGAAAAATATTTTAACGATAAACACATCAACTCAAACAAACCTCTCAGAGAAATCCTACACAAATAAACATGAACATTTAACTGATAATGTTTATTCTAAAGAAGTGTTCATACTCCTTTCTAAACCAACTGACAAATTATTGGTTGAGGAGTTCCATAATAGAACTGTTATTCCTGACTCTAATGTTGTTGATACGACAGATATTCTCTTTTCTGTACAACAACACTTACCTGCAACCAAACAAATCTTTACACCAAAGATTAACAAACAAATTTCAGAAACATCTACACAGAAAGCTGAAATGTACTATCTGATGTACCAGGCAGGTGTACACAAATGTACCATCATTTGCTGCCAGTAATCAACAAACCGGTCAAAATAAAACATGCTTTATTATTTCTGATATTGCAATGTATACTGTTGATATGCACATGTTTATTAATGATGCCTCATAGATTACCTATTGGTCAAGGATCCCAACATTTTGGATTTACAGAAAACCCCTCAAAAGTCCGAATTTATCTTGAGGATCTTCTTAAAATATTGAATCTTAAAAACGCCACCACCAATAAGGAGATCCGAAGCTTACTCGACCTCATCAAGTATTACAACCAATTTACCCCTAACACTATCCAGGAAACTGTATTTTTCACAAAACTATTAAAAAGGGAGCATTCCAATACAATTGAGTTGAACCGAGAACTAGATCACACTTTCACCAAAAACAAAACTCTTTTCTCCAGTTCCCCTATTTTAAATCTGTCTAATAGCATATTACCATTTGTTCTCAGATATCATACCAGTGGTACGGCAGTTGCGGTATGTCTGAGGCAGTGTGATGGCGAGATGTTACACCCGAACTGCTGTGTGACAGATTATGGGTGAGCAGTAAGTTGTCTCCAGCCCAGGTACACTGTTACGGCGAAACAGCAGTATCTTGCAGTGATTGTCTGTGTGACAAGACTCAATCATTACCTCCTGGGCAGACTTTTTGTCCCACAATCAGATAACCAGCCATTGCTCGTCATTAAGTCTGGTGCCCCAAAGAACATTCGTATAACCAGATGGGCACTACCACTGCAAGATTTCCAAGTCACAACTACACACATCAAGGGCAACAGCAACAACCTGGCTGACTTATTAAGCCGGCTGTAAAACTATTGATTGCCTAGTTGTATCCTGAAACTGACAGTCAGGTAACTTCAGAAATGCACAGACTATGTGAAAAGTCAGTGTCTTCATGTATTCATGCTTTCTTGAAAAGGCAGATGACTATGAATTGTTTCATAACGAAATTCTACACCAAGTTTCATAGATCCAGTTGTCAAGTAGCAGTGTATACAAGTACTGTTCTAGCCTAAAACCAGTGAACTGAACAATCGTAAAAGATTACCCAACAGGAAGATAAAGGTGATGATCATTCTAAGGACTTCAGCAGAGTGGAAAATGTGATGTATGAAAGAAGAGTGTAATTGGAATAAAAGGGAATGAGTGTATAGAATATAAGTCTATGTTGTGATTGTCATATTATAAGTTAATCTTATTATGTTCATCTTTAATATAATATATGTTGTATGGATTATATATGTTTTATATGTTCTGTATGTGCTATATGTTGTATATGTTTCTTTCATGTATATTATTTGGTTTTGAATTGTTAAGTTTATTCATTCAATTTCGTTTGCACAATTTTTATTTGTATATTTTTCTTATTTATTTTGATTTGTAACTTTTGTGTTGATATCTATGATGAGTAATTTATCTAAATTTATTTTTCTTATTTATTTTGATTTGTAATTATTGTGTTGGTATCTATGATGAGTAATTTATCGATATTTATTTTTCTTATTATTTTGATTTGTAACTATTGAGGTGGTATTTATAAAAGGGAAATAATTTTGAGTTTGAAAAATTATTTTATGTATATTTTGCTTATTTATTTTGATTTGTAAATTTTATTGTTTTGTTGGAATGAATATAGTGTAAAATTATTTGTGGGACAATCCATTTGGATTTTACAAATATATTTTTTTTTTTTTTTCTTTGCTAAAGATTTTTGGCTAGATCACATAAGTAATGTTAATTGTTTGATTTGCAATCATTTTTGTTTTAAAATTCTCAAATTGCAATATTAATATTCTTCAGTTTTTGAAACTTAATTTGAAATCCATTACTTTTATTAAAAGTTTCAATGAGTTTAATATTAACTAAGTGTCCTATATGCACTAAATGTAAATGTTAAAGTATATGTTAGACAATAATGCATTATAGATAAATAGCTTTGTAAACTAGTAGACTTTAAAATAACTGACAATTTAGTTTGGCAGTAAAATGAACTTATTTTAATTTTTGTTTTTTCTCTTTAAATTGTTTATTTTGCTTTCTAAAATTGATGATGGACAGTTTAAATGAAAGTTAGATTGTACTTTTACAAGGGCACTCACATGGAGAGTTAATTATGGTGTAACTAGTATCGCATATTTGGAGACTACATTTGAGGAGTAGCACTACCCTTGGAGGAGGGGAGTGTGTCCAACTGGCCACACATTTGTTTACTGCCTATTTTGCACTGTGGGTCATATGGGGTGATTTGTGTCTTGGCAGGTACTGCGGATTCGCGGACACATTATACGACTGTAGGTCGGGGAGTCAGGTCATGACCCTTTTCACAACCATGGACAACGCCTTATGGAGATAGTCCATGACAGCACAATGTTATAAATCACGGTGTCGTTGGTTAAACCGGCTTGGGAGCGTGTATACAGTGGCGTCTTACTTGCACAGTAAGTGAAGTAAGGTGTGATTGGGTCCCGGCGAACGATTTGGGTGTCCACCCAAAATTATTATTTATATCATTTACCCATATGATTTGAAGTGTAATGAGTCCAGTGACGTATGTTGTGTCAAGGGCTGATACCATTTCTACGGCCATTAGGGAGGAGCTTACCCATTGAATGTATATACCCATTAAATATGTGCCAGATAGTTTGTCCTTAGGTGATTGACCCAAAAAGTACATGACAATTATTTTTTTTTAGGTAACTAAATATTGACGATAAAAATTTAAAAACATGACTGTAACACATGATGGCAAAGGCCATGCTTTGCTGATACTTGACTTTGTCAGGAAGTATCTAAGTTCAGAGGAAGGGTGAATGTCACAAACCCTATTAAGTACAGGTCAGTGTACCACACGTAAGGTGTGCACCCAGTGGTTGACACAGAGGTCAGGGCCGTCACTGGTCGAGTCCCGTTCTGTGATCGCAAGGCGAAACCAGCGCTCAGGATAAAGCAAGAAAGCTTGAAAACTGTGTTTTAGTAACACGATGACTGCTTCTGGGACTGAGCTGGTGAACGGGGTCAAGAGACACGAGGGGAGAAGGAAGAAGGACATTCGGTGTGCGTCGTCAGGAAGAGAGGTACGTTTAGTGACTGGATAGTTTATGTTATAGTATTAAAGTTAGGATATATTTCTGTTAGTGGACTGGATAGTTTATGTACAGTTTTGTGTTAGGATAGGATAGTTCTTGTGTAGAGTATTTATGTTATATGTGCTGTGAGAGAGTGGCTAACCTGGACACTCTGACCCTGCACTAGGAGACAGAGACTGTGACAGTTTGATTGGGTCAGGCGTGGCGATAGAAGAGAGCGTATATCCTGACCGGATTGTGGTTTGTACACCAGAGTATGCCTGTCGCACGTACTGGGGACGGGGCGATTGTAAAGCCCGTCCAGCCAGAGGGTCCAGGCAATAGGTGGCCACACGGCGGGAAGTCAACTGTCTATGTATTACCTGTACTTCCAATAAAGATTGTCGTGTGTGCTCTGTGTGCGTTCGGGTTCAGTGTGTGTTGTAGGTTAGTCTGTCTGTCATAGGCCTAGTTAGCGAGCCACGGACCGGCAAGGTCATACCAGAGGTTTGTGACAGTTAGGTTAGTTAAGTTAGTTAGTTAGTAAGTTCAAACATTCCTTTGACACCACATTCATCTGTAACTTTATTCATCAACGACAGCCTTCATTTCTCACAACATTCCTCCATCACAACATTCCTTCATCACAACATTCCTCCATCATAACATTCCTCCATCACAACATTCCTCCACCACAACATTCCTCCATCACAACATTCCTCCATCACCCCATTCCTCCATCACAACATTCCTCCACCACAACATTCCTCCATCACAACATTCCCCCATCACAACATTCCTCCACCACAACATTCCTCCATCACAACATTCCTCCATCACAACATTCCTCCATCACAACATTCCTCCATCACAACATTCCTCCATCACAACATTCCTCCATCACAACATTCCTCCATCACAACATTCCTCCATCACAACATTCCTCCATCACAACTTTCCTCCATCACAACATTCCTCCACCACAACATTCCTCCATCACAACATTCCTCCATCACAACTTTCCTCCATCACAACATTCCTCCACCACAACATTCCTCCATCACAACTTTCCTCCATCACAACATTCCTCCACCACAACATTCCTCCATCACAACATTCCTCCATCACAACATTCCTCCATCACAACATTCCTCCATCACAACATTCCTCCATCACAACATTCCTCCATCACAACATTCCTCCATCACAACATTCCTCCATCACAACATTCCTTCATCACAACATTCCTCAATCACAACATTCCTTCATCTCAACATTCCTCCATCACAACATTCCTCTATAATAACATTCCACCGGACAGTGAGATTCATGGCCAGCAGCCTATTTTATAGATCTGATTATTTCTATTTTTGCCAGTTTGCAAACTGCATCAACACCGCTCCGATTGACCTGAGCACAATGTCGGCCTCTACAGCTCTCCATCTGGGCACACTGGCAAATTCTGTGGCTCAAAATACTTTTCATCTTAGCAATGCTGGCCAGGTAAGCACTTCTGTCCTTGTCATTTTAGTCTGTCTCCATCAGCTTAGTCTGTCCTCATCAACTTTGTCTGTTGTCATCAATCTTAGTCTGTCTTCGTTAACTTTGTCTGTTGTTATCAGTCTTTGTCTTCCTCAACTTTGTCTGGTCATCAATCTTAGCCTGTCCTCATCAACTAAATGTTCTTTTTCAGCCTAGTTTTTCTTCATCTGCTGTCAACTTTGTCCTTTTCAGTTTAATCTGTCCTTGTTATCTTAGTCTGTCTTCATCAGCTTAGTCTGCCCTCATTGGTCTTATAGTCAGTCCTAGCCAGCTTAGTCTATTCTTATCAGCTCAGTTTGTGAACTTTGTACTTGTCATCTTAATTTGTCCTCATTAACTTAGCCTGTCCTCATCAGCTGCATCAGTTCTCATCAGCTTCGTCTATTCACATCAGCTTAATTTGCACTGTGATACTCTGGTCTGTAGAGGATCTTCTTATTTGTTACTACTTAGTCATATGTCCATCTTTTGGTGGTTTTTATGATAGGCATGGGAGAAAGTTGTAGTTGTGGTGTTTGTAGAAAGTCCCAAGTCATATCTATCTTGTGGTGGTTTTGATGACAGGCATGGGAGAAAGTTGTAGCCATTTTGTTTGTAGAAAGTCATATCCATCTTTTGGTGGTTTTGATGACAGACATGAGAGAAAGTTGTAGCCGTGGTGTTTGTAGAAAGTCGTATCCATCTTATGGTGGTTTTGATGACAGGCATGGGAGAAAGTTGTAGCCGTGGTGTTTGTAGAAAGTCATATCCATCTTTTGGTGGTTTTGATGACAGGCATGGGAGAAAGTTGTAGCTGTGGTGTTTGTAGAAAGTCGTATCCATCTTTTGGTGGTTTTGATGACAGGCATGGGAGAAAGTAAATAATGTAGCCGTGGTGTTTGTAGAAAGTCGTATTTATGTCTCATGTGGGTGCCTACCAGTTTTATGCAGTGAATTCTAAATATATCAATTGTGTTTTTGTTATGTGTTCATGTGAATTCTAAAAGCGTCTGTGGCTTAGGCATTGCGAATGTGCTTCATAATTCTGAGATACCTGGTTTCGTTCCCACTTGTGGGTAATTTGACAGCTGACTGCTTTGTGTTGATTTAGATAATCATTTTCAGAGCCGACCATTCAGTAAACAATAGCAAACTACTGAACATAAAATTGCCTAGTAAAACCAGACATACAAAAATGCTTTTTCAAGGAAACACTACTAACCTTTAGTCAAACAATTTATGTGTTATTGAGTATGCACATGACAAGTTACAGTGAGACTTGCCAGGCAATAGATTATGCAAGCTACTATTATTTTATTTTATAAAGTATGATGTCACAGTCAACGCCAGTGCACATTGGGCATTCCCATGCGTGCCTAGTCCTCTGATGCAGCAGCCACTCCAGTGTACCTCTACTGATGGTTCCCATGAGGAGTTGGTTTTAATGTCTCCTTTCTCAGCCTCAAAGGTTGCATTCAGATTCACAATGGGAAAACCTCACTCTTGAGTCTAATACTGTTTATTATCCACAGATGTTTTTTGGGGTGCCTTTACAGGACAACAGCGGGGATCAAAGTTTTGGGGATCCTGACGAGAGTGCTGAGGCTGGGGAGCTGAAAATTGATATCAGTGACGTACGGGATGTCCATGATGTCGGGGAAGGCTGATACAGTATTTTTGTTTGGAAAATATCGGGGTGTCGCTCGTTTGTTTCTTCAGAAATGATGTAAATACATTGTATATTGTCGAACAAATTGGTTGGTGTGTATTGGATTCTTGCATAATTCACGCAGATAATTGTGTGTTTGCCAGTGGCACAGAGAATATTGTTGCATATAGATGTGCATTCTGGTGATGTGTGTGTGCGTGCATGTGTGTTGTTTGGGTGCATTCTTGTATTATTCAGTGTGTATACTGTGTGTACATCAGTGATATTGAGAACGTTTTTTGCATATAGATTTGCAGTTCGGATATGTGTGTGTGGTTTGTATATGCATGTGTCAGTTGATGAATATTAAAGGTATGTCTGTGTATATTTAGAGGTTAATCGATAATCCATCATCATTTCTGATGGGAGGGGGGGGGGGAGGTTTGAACAATCAATCAACATCATGGCACACAGGTAGTAACTCATAAGTGCTCCGTTCTTTTTCTAACTCAAGTCTGAGTACGAAGAAGCTCAGCACAGTGCACAGGCTCTGTAGCATCGACGATTTTGATTGATTTCCAACTGCCAGCGGATTTTTTACGTGCGCGACAATGCACATGGGCATGCTGAAATATACAATACCTGATATTTACTGCATTGCCGAACACCCCTGTAACCTTGTGTGAGGTTACAAGACTCAGGAGCTACCAGTCAGAAGTGAGCTAGTGTGTATATGAGTGGGGTCTAGGGAGACTTAACGTTACTTTTACTGAGGGAGAGAGAAGCTGATGGATTTTCCAGGTGTAAGTGTGTGTTTGAATGTAGAGGTTTATGGATAATCCAGGCATCATCATTATCACTGGTCTCTGCATGCAGGTCACATTTATGTTTTAAAGCACTGTATAAACCTATTATGCATAATAAGTTTGTGGATAACCCACACATTTACGGATATTATCCTTAGTTGATATCTGTATGTGGATGCATGAACTCTCAGTTGCTGTGTGGACAATGTAATGGATAATTCACATATTATTGTCGCAATTTTAATAAATAATTCAGATGTGTGTACATTAGAGTAAAATCATAATTTTTCCCATGTGGGTCCTGGGACCCCATTTTAGGGAAGACAGAATAGACTCATTGCTCCCTAACAAGCATGTTGTAAAAGGCATCTGATTAGGAGTTTGCTGATTGGAAGATGGAAATCAAATGAAAAAATAGGATTGAGATGAAGGGACATAATTTAGACTAGGAGTTTAGATTATGTTCATCATTTGTGTCCCCTTTGAACTTAAGGTTGTTGGTATATTGTACTTGTGAGTTTCTCATGTCATCACAGCACCAGGGGCATTCCCATTTGCACTCCATCCTCATATTCAGCAGCGAGCGCAGAATGCCTGTACTAAACGTACCGGTTGCAGTCTGGTTATGTGTCCGTCTAACCTTTCCTCTGAGTGTAGTGAGCCGACCAGACCCTGTGGTCATACCCAGGCGTCTCATTCTCTCCTCATCATAATAATCTAGTTTAGAAGATAAGTAGCAATAGCTGTATTCACAGGATAAAATACTCATATTTGCTTGTCATGTTATGCCAAGTTATTCAGTCTTGTTCCTCATTTTCACTTTCTCTTATACTCTTCACCCCTGAAGTCATAAGACAGTAGGTTATACACCTGGCTTTTGTAGCGGTTATCAATTAATCAGTCAGCAGGTCCTTTACAGAATGTAGCTCTCTTCACGTCACGCCTGAATGTTTCTCTCTTTCTGCAGCCATTTCTCCAGACCTGTGTGCTTTCACAGTCAATGCATCTTTAATTTCCTGTATCCACTTTCATGAAGGTCAGGTCTGCCTCATTTTTCAGAAAGTACCCTTCGCCATTTTCTGTAGACAACCATGGTGCTTGACATGTCCATAATATCTCAGCTTTTGGAAGAGGATGCTGTTCCCTCCCTTCCCCCCCCCCCCCCCCCCCTCCCCAGAAACTATGAGTTGTAAACCCTTTGGGAACAGGTAGCGAACTTGGGCCCAGCACACAGTGATGAGTAAAGAGATCGGGCCCAGGACACTGTGAATGGACGCTCATTCATGCATCTTAACCTTTGAGATGTTAAAGTTGAGTTGGCACGGGTGTCCAGTTGGTGCAAGGTTGTATTGTGTTGACTCTCTTACCGGCAACTACACATGCTCTCTCTTACAGGATGTGAGCAGTTTTAACGACACCATAACATGTACAACTGGCCATAACCCCCACCCCACACACTGAACCTAGGTTCCATGAGAGAGTGCATTCTGCACCCTGTGGTTTTATACTTCTTAACATTTTGCAGTGGCCGGCAAAATGCCTTGTTGCTGCAGAAACTCAACAGTACTTTCCTCGTCGCCGGCTAGTGCTCACAGTTTAAATAAACTCATGTCCTATTTAAATTTTAGACGGCTGTCATATACCCACCAACAAACACTAATTCTGCTTACAAGTAAAAACACAATGTGGGCGGCTGCTGCTCACAGAACAACAATTAACACGCAAAGTAGAAAGCTTTGTGAAGACAGCAGTACACTGGGGCACCCCGCTAATGTAGACCAGCCTGAAGAATCATCAATGACAGGTCAGCTAGTGTGTAACTGGGCGCGAGTTGATTACTCATTCCACAATTTGGCTCGGTACTATGGACATTGCAACCCTTTGGCCTTGATTCCATGATAGTTACCGTAAATCTGGAAAATATGTGGCTTTTCTGCCTACCCTCGAGCGTGAACTCGCAACACAAGGGGTTTTTCCACCGTGTCGCTGGTTTAACCAAATTACCTATCGCGCCAGGCAGGATGCTGTTTATGAGCCAATTCTCCTTGACATTCAGTTCATGCAGGATGTCAACCTTCTTCTTGGTAGCCTTAATGAGTGCTTTTTACCTCCTTTGGATTTTGAATTGTGGACTTGGGAACTTATTAGTCTGCCATCTAGAGTAAGGTTTTATAATCTCAGTATGGAATAGTAAACCTTCAGGTAGCAGCCGAGAGGGGACACACTGATCGGTCGATTGTTTATACTGTTTTTTTTGGGGGGTCATTTTTACGAGATATGCTCACCCACACCAGACTACAGGTTACACAAGGCTGGTTCTTTGAAGGTTGAACAGGGTATCTGGTACTTGTTTCTCTTCTTCACTTCCTCTTATACTCTTCACCCCTGAAGTCATAAGACAGTAGGTTATATATAGTTATATATCGGTCTCTCGCTAGCTGTCTCACCTCTGGTAGTTCCATATTCAGCCCTGCCCCTCCTTCCTGGTACCAATCTATTTGCTATTACTTTTTCCATTCCATGTTGTTTATTAGCCAATCTTTTTTGGTGTATTTTTATATTTTATATTTTTTTGGGTGTTTTGTTTATATAGTAGGTTATATATATGATTTTGGGTCATTTTTACGAGATATGCTTACCCACACCAGACTACAGGTTACACAAGGCTGGTTCTTTGAAGGTTGAACAGGGTATCTGGTACTTGCACTGTTGGTCTGCCATCCAGTTTGAAATTTGGTAAATTGAAATCTCAGGATGTCCTTAAGGACGAAGGATATATGTGACTCCATGAGGTGGAAGAGCTGGCAAGAGAGTTTCTTTCAGAGAATAATGTTCTTCAAGGACCTGCTACATGATGAATCTCAGGGTGTCAAACCTTGGCCAGCAGTCCAGAGGAATAGCATGCATGCACACACACACATACACACGTACAACCCCCCCCCCCCCCCCCACTCACAGGTACCAGTACTTGGTATCCTGGGCAAACTAAGTCCTGTCTCTTAGAAAATTTGCAGGTAGGCTGGGGGGGAAGGGGGGGGGTGGAATTAGGAATCATGTGGTTCTCCAAACCATATATAGATGGTCTCTTATTAACTCTTTCAATCCCAAGCAGTTGTCACTTAACTCTGTCTATATAAAAGTTTTTAGCTTAAAAGCAGTAACAATGGATCATTGGAGGGAGCAGAAAAGAAAAACAGTGGAGCTGTAAGGTTGGACTACAGTAGAAATGTAATGCGCCTCTGGCTGGAAGACTTTCAACAAACTTAAGAGCAAAGTAGCAAGCAATTATTCATTCAGCCAAAGTGCTTGAAGAAATAAAAATTAAAAAGTCGCAAAATTGTTTTCTTATGTGACTTCATTTCAGGCCTTCAGGTAACCCAGAGGGATTCACGAGACAACAGACTCTCAGAAAACATCAAATCGTTCTCCAGTGGATCCCATCTGACTGTGGCATCCAGGAAGTGAGTTAGCAGACAGACTTGCAAAAAATGGAACAAAGGAGAAACAACTCACCCATTCATTGCCATTACCAGAAATCAAAACACTCAAGGGGAAAATACAAAGCATTGTGGAGAAAACAAACCAATAGTAAACATCCACAAGACCCCATCAGCAGACTCAACAGAAAGCAGCATAAACGATTTTCCGTCCACGAACAGGACACTGCAGGCTCAGCTACCACGTGCATAAAATAAAGATTGTACAGTCTCCACAGTGTGCCTGTCAGACAGGGCCACAAACACCTGAGCATATTCTGCAGACCTGCCCACTCTACCAACAACTTCAAAAAGACACCCGGCCTCAAGAGCAAAGTGTGCAGAGCAAGCTATGGGGAATCATGCAGGACCTGTAACTGACATGCCAGTTCATAGAGGTAACCCACCTGATGGTCTGATCTGAGCATACGAAACTGAACGCAAAGAAGAAGAAAAGCAGTAACAAAATTGGCTCTCAGGAGTTCAACATAGACAGTATGAGACACGAGAAGTCAAACTAGTTATCTAGATAATAAGTAATGATATAAAACTATTTAAACAGCATTACACTCTATGGTTAAGCACCAGCAAGGAAATTAAAGCTTTGAGAGCATGCATCTTCCCTGTAACAACACACTGATGTGAGTCGTGGACTATCTCCCAGTCTTTAAGAAGAAAATATGGGTTATGACCCTTCAAAAGATATGAACACAAAAAAAAAAAAAAAATTTGCTAAT